GTTAAAGCATCCAGTTTCATACACAACTATTATCACATGTGGAAAGAGGCTCCAGTACAGAAATAGTGTGGAATTTCAACACTCCACTTTGGTTAATGAACAGGTCATCCAGGCCTCCTCCTAAAGTCAAATCAATGCCAGAGTTAAGTTATAAAATAAATCATATAACTTCCTAGACATTCATAGAATAATCCCCCCAGTAGCTACAGAACACATTTTCCTAAGTTTAAGAGGACTTCTCTGGAACAGATTATGTATTATGTCACAGATTTAAAGACATTTAAATCATATGCTAGACCCTTTCTGATCGCAATGATTGATGGATCTGGAAACCAGTTACCAAGTGAAACTCTAGGTGGAAAGTACAGTGAAGCCCGGGGTGGAGCAGCACAGAGTGGTGCCTCACTGAGAAACTGAGGGGTGAATTAATGCTTTCCTCCAATCAGAAGTTGAGAGCTGCTAGAGGAGGGAAGTCATCCTATTAGTTACTTTTCTATTTCTGTAACCAAACAGCATGACCAAGGCAGCTTTATTATAAAAGAGAACGTTTAGTTGGTCCTACAGTAACAGAGAGTGTAGAATCCATGATGGCAAAGGGAAGGCATGGGGGCAGGAACAGCTGAGAGCTCACATCTCAAACCCTAAGCAGGAGGCAGAGAGCACACTGAGAATGTCATGAGTCTTTTGAAACCTCAGAGACTGTGCCCAATGACACACCACCTAATCCTTCCCAAACATGTCTACCAACTGGTGACCAAATATTCAAACACACGAGCCTATGGGGGCCATTTTTATTCAGATACCCAGGGAGTGTGGCTCCTGGCAGTTTCCCATACTCCAATGGATGGCCCCACACTAGAGTACGTATGGGCAGTACTAATTATACTTAGTAAGTTACAAAACAACAACAGAAGACATGCAGTTATAAAGGGAAACTATTGGGGGAAAGGGGACATTGATTGCATTTCGTTGTGCACATAGGTGAAATTCTCAATAAAAAATTAAAATAGAAATAAATACAACACAACTGTGAGATGTCGTAAATACACCCTAAGGCTACATTTATGAGTGCCTACATTTACAAAAAGAAACTTTGCAAATACCCTGTTGAGGTATCTCAAGGAGTTAGAAAAGTAAAAACTAAACTAAACCCCAAATAACAAAGATCAGAAACAAAACAATACAAAACATGAGCGAAGCCAAGTATTGGTTGTTTGCAAAGATAAAGAGGAAGCATAAGTATTCAACAGAAATTTAATGCGTCAATGGGATGATTTTTAAAAACTGTTGACTAGTTAGAAAACCCATGAGAACATAAAACACGTGAATAGTAGTAAGTGATGGTCAGAATTCCTGCCATACAGTATTATTTAAACAGTAGCTCCCATAGTCATTCAAGCAAGGACTAAAAGGACCATGGTGTACTGCCTGCCTGCTACAGCCTCGCTGGTAGTGCCTTAGAAAGATTTGGGGGAGAGACCTCTGAAGAGAGTTTTGCCTCATGTTCTTATGTTCTGGAATGTTCCTCCCCACACGGCTCGGGCACTGACTGAAGCCTGTGCTAGCTTCCTTGTCATCCTTTCTCCCAGGATTCTCACTTCATTTTCAACTCCTCAGCAGAGGCTAAAGTGGTCCTCGGAGGCACAGAGACCTTGGGTGCTCACACACAGGGTGGTATCCCCATCTCCATTCTCACTCTAATCTGTGAGGCTCATGTAGTGACGTCACAAATGCTGTCGGGATTGTGTGCTGCACACGTTTTTGTTCAGATCATGCCTTCGTTACCATTTTTTAAATCTGTCTTTATTAGCCTGTCCCAGAGCTCATACTTTTTCCATTCTTTTGTGACTTCTTTTAAATATCAAAAATTATAGCTTCATTGTAGAATTAAATGTTCTATCACTGTTGCTTTGTCTGAGTTGTGTCACTTCCCAGCATGCTTGAAGAGAACAGTAGAGAGGATGCTGCTGGTATCTGCCAGGCCTATACTATTGCCTCATTCATTGCTCAGGCTGGAGTGTAGGGAGTCCTGGGAGGTAGGTATTATTAGCCCCATTTTATGGGAAGCTGAGACATTCCAGAAGAAAAGCCTACCTAAGCTGCACAAGGGAGGGTAGACCGCAGGGCTAGCTTGCCTGGGTCTGAATCACTGTTTTGCTCACAGCTGTATGACACAATTACATAGGCTTCCTGTGCTCTGCTTTCCTACTCTTGAGTGTCTTACTATATATAGTTCCTGCCTCCAGGGTTGCTGTGAGCTTTGACAGTGACCTGTGAAATAGCTAGAAGAGTCCTGGCATAGGACCATAACTCAATAGATGCTAGCTGGGTAAAGAACAGACAGACTAACGAAGCCCTCCCCACAGTGTGACCAGCCTAGTGGGACGGCCATTGGTGGGCGCCTGGTGCACTCACCAATGAAGTGAGAGGAAGTGAGAGGAAGGCTCACAGCTCTTCCCAGGGTACTGCCATCCATGGCCTTATGAGGTTTCTATTAGCCTCTTCCAATCTCTCGTTCAGACACTGACTCGCTCATCTTTTCAATGTTACATCTGAGTGTTATAATTTGGTGCAGAATACTTAGAGATCCAAGTGATTTCAAGATGGCATTTCTCTACCTGCATAAAATATTTTCAACTTTCTGAAAACCATGCTAAATACCTGTCATGAAACTCAGCTTGTCTTCTTCATCTTTCTGTAGTTCCAGAAAAGAATAGAAACTGGGTATTTTGTTGGGCTTTTGATAACAACAGGAGTAGGAATTCCTGGGCCATTTCATGTCATTTCAATAGAGTTAGAGAAAAGATCCAAGAGGAGATGTTACCAGGCAGATGAAAATTGGCTCGGGTCAGGGAAGGCCTCTCATCCACATGCATCTGAGTGGTACTAGCTACATCCCAGTAGAGCCTTGTCAGATGCAAGAATACACCCACTGACAGGTGCTTGGTAAAACACCTACAGGAGTCTCCAGAGTAGATTGCTCACCTCATGGTGGGGAAGCTGTGTGTGGAGTGGGGTCATCCTCCTTCCTGAGTGTACCAGCAATTAACTATGTGCTGTTTGGATGACTGAGTCATCCAGTTCCCACAGTGGGATAATACAGACAACACAGTTTAGTCACTAGTGAAATAGAAGTGCATTCCTGACAGCAAAGTTTTTCTACCAGGTAAGTACCCAGGAATTCAGAGAATAGTTTATCCACCCATCTCAACAGCACAGCCTTACCTACCACCCATCACAACAGCCAAGTCTTACCCAACCACCCATCACAACAGTACAGCCTTACCCACCCAGCTATAACAACAGCCAAGCCTTACCCAACCACCCATCATAACAGCAGAGCCTTATCCACCCACCCCATCACAACAGACAAGCCTTACCCACCTATCATAACAGTACAGCCTTACCCACCCCATCAAACAGCCAAGCCTTACCCACCCCCATCAACAACAGCAGAGGATTATTCATCCACCCCATCACAACAGCAAAGCCTTACCCACCCACTGCATTACAACAGCCAAGTCTTACCCACCCATCACAAAAGTTCAACCTTGCCCACCCCCATCCAGTACAGCCTTACCCACTGGTACCAAACTATCAAAACAGCTTAGCTTTATCACCCTACACCCATCACAGCATTGTAGCCTCACACATCCTCCAACCCATCACAATTGTCCAGCCTTACCCACCCATCACAATGATGCAGCTTTACCTACCCCACAGCCATAACATCTTCCACAGTGTGGCCACTGACTCTCATTCACATATATCATACATACAATTGGAGAACTGCACTCCACAAGTGTAAACTATACCTGTACATAGCAGACTCAGACAGAATGCTCAGTCCTCTGTTTGGAGTTTTTCATGTATTCATTTTAGCTTTTAAAACAACCCATTATATCAGTTTATTCCCTATTTTATGTAGAGAAACTAAGGCATAAAAATGTTAAGTGGCTTGCTCAAAATCACACAAATAATAGATATCAGAAAAAGATATTTGGATTTGGAAAGTCCAGCTCAGCTTTTTAAACTATGCTATCTTTAACTATAAGTACAAGGAGAAACATGTCCATTTTAGTTAGGTACAAACTATATTCATCTTATAAAGTGTAAGAGGAAATTATTGCTGCAGATAAAAAGGGGGGAAATGATAGATTGATTCAATAAGACATACCACCCCAAATATATATACACTCTATAACACAGCTACAAAACAGAGCAAACAAAGATCAATGGAACAAAAACAGTACAAAGACAAGTCCACAGTGACACCTGGTGATCTCAGCACAGCTTTGTCAATAAAGGAACAGGGAAGGCACACACACAAGCCCACATGAGAGTCATCATCTTAGCTGACAACTGAGAATGCTTACTTTGTGCTTACTTGGCAGTGCATGTATGTTCACCAATGTCAGTCATGTGCTGGATCATAACACCTAAGACAACTAAGACAACTTTCAGAAAGACTGGAGTCATACATTCTCAGGCCACAGTAAAATTGATCCCATAACTGATGCCAAAAGAATAGTTAGAAAACCTCCAAATACATTAAAATTAATATAACAACTCCAGTTGAGGGTTCAGAGAACTCATAGCTGGAGTATTGTAATGTGGCAGTAAAGAGACTGCAGTACACAAAACTGGGAGACAACTAAAGCAGAGAGGGAGTCAAAGCTTCAGTGAAGAAAGACTTTGGACAGCTGGAGCTTTCATCAGGAGCTGGGGGAAATTCAGTAAGTCACTCCCAAAGAAAGCAAAGAGAAATAAAACTGTAAGCTGAAATCAGTGAAATAACAAATCAGGCATGCAATAAAAACAACAGAAGGTGGATTCTTTAAAATGGCAAATTACAATGAAGCATAAGAAGTTCCTTCATGCCCTTAGAGTGGGGTGTTTAAGCCTGTCTTCTCCCACACATGCTTTATGCCCCTAAGCAGTGTTAGCATGTCAGTTCCTCTTTCTAACTATTCTCCTGTCTCTGTTTGTTCCATGCTAAGCAGACGGCCCAGAAATTAGCCAAAAGCAGGAAGAAGGTGCAGTACAAACAACTTCATCACTTGGTGTTACGCCTGTCCTTTTCTTTTATGTTTTGCCTTTTTATGATTTTGTGTTCTTGTTTTCTGCATCCAGCAAGTTTTTTGTTCCGATTTCGTTTTGAACCGCTCCATAAGCCAGCCTTTCTCCAAACTTAGTTGCCTCAAGTGACCATTTTCTGTTGCTCATTTGGTCATTTCACTTCAGAGGAACGACAGGGAGCAGATTGGAGATGCTAAATGAACCCTCTAGTGTGGAAGCTGCAGCCATTCAGGAGCAATGATGTGGCAGGGGCCTGGGACTACTCAATTACAGTACATTCGATTTGAGGATTTCTCAGATTGCTGGATGCAAAAAAAGAAAACTTGCTAGTAACCACTCATGTGCAGGGTTCAGTCCTAAATGAGCCAGGCTGCACTTTGGGGATTGTAGAGCTTCTAGGTATTTGTAAATTACTCTGAGGATGTGAGGCATTGGGGGCTCTTTTGTAACGGGGTGGCTACAGGAGCAGGCAGCTGCTTCTATGTTGCTGTGGTGATGTGTGAACATGAAGACCCTCTTACCAGAACTGCATCCAGTGGCTTCATTTGCACCTACTACAGACATTGTCCTCCATCAGCTCTGGCAGGGTAAACTGGGTGAGTGACTGTTCCAAGGTCCTCCCTATGAGTTAGCTGCTCTTACCCTTCAGCCTCCAAAACCCTTGCAGAAAGGGCCACTTGCCATAACGTCCAGAGTTAATCTGCTGCAGTGACTGCTGCTGTAGGGGAAGCAGCAGAGGGGACTCTACCTTCCCCTGTAACATAGAGGTGCTAACTCTTGCCCATGTGTCCATCCTCTCTGTAGTACCTTCAGCTTTGGCAATGTAACCCTTGAGTCTGTGTTGCCGTTCTGGTGACTGTGTCTTGGTAACCCAGTGTGAGAGCTAACCTTTTCCCATGCCTCTGGGTTAAGGTGACATAATAAAACTGCTTTTGATGCACTTTCTTCTCAGGCTCCTGAGGGCGAATCTCAGCCAATGACTGAGGTGGATCTCTTCATTTCTACCCAGAGGATCAAAGTGTTGAATGCTGATACACAGGTACCAGCTTGCTGCCACCATTCTCGGGGGTCAAGGCTAGTGGCATTTTCACATAGGCTCCCCATGCCTGTAAAGTGGCTATCCCCAGGTTTTGGGCAACTTATGTGCGAGGACCTGGAAACCTGACTGGATTGACAAGGGAATGAAGGAGACAAACACACATAAACACATGCACATACACACATTTTACACATACACACATATGCGCTCGTGCGCACACACACACACCAGCTGGGATCTGGTGGACCATGCACTGAGATGGAGATGTCCCAGCAGCACCCTGGAAACTCAGTGTTTACTTTATACATCTGAACAAGGAGGCAGGTTTGGTTCATCTCAGGGGGCTGTCTCACTAGGGGAGCAGTCTCAGGCTGTAAACACTGCTGAGGACAAAACTGGGTTCTACATTCTCCGCACACATTTTGTCAGTATCTACACATGGACCAGGGCGTGGCTTTGCCATCCCTATGGATCTGAGTCGTTAGGATCCTTTAAGTAGCTTTGCTCTTACCAGTGATACACATTCACTCAGGACTTCATCCACTCCCCACGGACTCCAAAGACCTTTGTTCACAAAAGACTGATGCTAGGTAGGACCGTGACTAATTTCTTAAAGCACAAAAGAAAACTCAGAACATGTGTATTGTCTGTCACTCCAATGAGTTCTCTGGGAAGGGGGACTCATTAGCCTTATTTAAAAGTGCACAGTAAAAAAAAAGTGCACAGTAAACACACATACACACACAAGTGGCATTTAGATTTTATCTTTTCAGCTTTACCACCAGAGAGTCTACATGGTATAAAATGTTGATATTCCTTGTTTTTCTCCTGTTCTTCATTGACCAAGGAACATGCCTCAGGCCTGGGTAGCAGAATTCAAAGGTCTGGCAGTGAGGGCTTTGCCCTGTCCCACCCCAGCCGGGTTCCATCCTCAGCCTGGGTGAGGGAAGAAGGTACCATCTCCTAAGTTCTTGGGTCTTATGTGCTACTTACCTGCCCCATCCTTCACTTCTAGGAGCCTATGATGGATCACCCTCTGAGGACCATTTCCTACATCGCAGACATTGGGAACATTGTCGTGCTTATGGCCCGCAGACGGATGCCTCGCTCCAACTCCCAGGAGAATGTGGAGGCCTCTCACCCATCCCAGGATGGAAAAAGACAGTACAAGATGATCTGCCATGTCTTTGAGTCTGAGGACGTAAGGCTGACTTCCCCAACCTCCCTCTGGGTGACCTGAATAGCCACTAGGTGTCCAGTTTCTCAGGACCTGAATCAGTCTGGCTCATCATACATTAAACGTGTTTATGGAGCACCTGCTGAATGTCAGGCACTGTTCTAGAACTGCAGGTGTAGGGTTAAATAAAGTGCATGAGTTACTCTTTGAAAGGGGTAGAAATAGATAAACCAGCTTAACAAATCAGACATGGGCAATGCTTTGCTGCATTACAAAACAGGAGCAACACACAGAAAGACAGGACTAGTTCAAGTAGGGTGATCAGCATAATGTATTTTTTTCAAGAGGGTGACATTTTAGCAGTGACTTAACTACAGTAATATTGGAAATAGCAAGAGCAAAGGCCCTGAGGCAAGGGACTGCTGAGTTAGCTGGGGGGGGGGGCAGCATTCTTTGAAAGAGCGTGACCCAGATTGTCACTCTAAGACCAAGCAGGTCTTCACGGCACCAGGGTGTTTGTAGAGAGAAATCCAGAGCTGTATAGAACTGTCCTGCTGTCACAGTTAGTGTCGTCCTTCCTCCCAGTCCAATGACCCCATTCTAGCAGGAGGCGAGGTCAGATCGGGAAGGTGCATTCCTAGCAGAGGTGTCCTTTTGTCCACAATGGCTCTGCACTGCGTTGGCACCTGACCTCCCCGGGCACCTGACCTCCTGGGCCTTGCTTACCTAGCTGCAATGAATTGCCCTCCTCAAGAAGAGAGAAGGCCAAGGCAGTCAGTCCCTCACAACATAGAGAACCAGAGCTGCCATGCTTGTGGCCGCCACCAGGAGACCAGGAGATGCTGACATTGATCTTAAGCAACACTGCCTCTTCCTGTCTCCCTCTGCACTGTGCTTTAAGGCTGAGGCTAGGATGGAGCACGAGAGAAACAAACAGTGCCAGGAAAGTTCATGAGTAAAACTGTAGAGTCTTCAGGCTCCTGGCTTCTACGGGCCACAGAAAAGGCTCACCAGCCTGTGAGATCCCCCACAGGAACCCTGCTACCTCCATTTGGCATGGAATTCATAAGGAGTCTCTTCCTCTTTTTTTTTTTTATATCTGCACGGGGAAGAACAGAATGACCCCAGTGGCTTTGTTTCCACTATAATTTGGAGCAAGTGCACTGTTCTGTAGCTGAGGGCTGAGCTGGCCTGGGCCAGGCTGGGCTAGGCAAGGCGCCCACCCCATGAATAAGTAGATGTAGGATGTCTGTATGCACAAAGACCAAAAGAGGGTATTGGGTAGCATCCTCTATCACTTCCCACCTATGCCTCTGAGGCAGGGTCTCTCCCGCAGTCAGGGGACTCACATGTTCTCAGTTAGGCTGGAAGTCAGCAGGCTCACTGCCTCTACCACCCTCTTGAAGCTAGGACTGTAGACATGTACAGTTTGTTACATGAATGGCAGGGTTTTAGTTCAGTCCTCATGGTTATTCAGCAAGCACTCTTAACCATTGAGCCGTCTCCAATTCCCTTTATTTTCTACAAAATATCTTATAGCCATAAGTATAACGAAAAGAGGAAAGAGGTTAAGATAAAATCATGACACTATAAATGCTTGGGCTCAGCCATCCCCCAAAGCATCATGAAGCAGCCAGATGTTGACACCTGCTTACTTAAGTTTGACTGTGAGAACTGTACTGTATTTGATGCAGTACTGTAAGTACTTTCTACTTGGCATTTTGAATTGAGGGCTAAGCAAGAATCCATATCTATAAACAAGCAGAGCCTCCATGCAGCATGGTGACTGCACAGGCTGATAGGGATGTTTTCCTCTGTCTCTCCCACCCACTGGGTCACTGCAGCTGCTTATGAAACAGCATTCTAAGGCTTAATATTAAAGTATAGTTGTTTGACCAATAACTCAGACCTATTACTGGCTAGCTCTCTCATAAATTAACCAATTTCTATTAATCTATGTATTGCCACCAGACTATGACTTACCGGTAATGCTCCAGTATGTTACTCCTTTATGTCGTCTCCCTGACTCTGCTTTCCTTCTCCCTGCATCTTTGTTTAGATTTCCCACCTAGCTATATTTTTCCTGGCCATTGGCTGAAACAGCTTTATTCATTAACCAATAAAAGCAACACAAATTCACAACATACAGAATGATATCCCACATCAAATGTTATTAACAATTCAAATCACACAAATGATATGGATGATTTTATATTTTTGGTTGTGAGCCTAGCCTTTAACGGCTGAGCTATCCCTCCAGCCCAATATGGATGATTTTAAAAGACATGAAACTTACTTATAAAATCTCAAAGGACAATTTCCCTTCACTTTGCATAATATTATTCTTAAATATGCAGTGTAGCAGGGCCACCCAATGAGTCTTTGTATTTAAGCATAAACTAGAACCCAGTCATGGATACCGTAATTAGAAACAGGTGTTACATACAGGATGTAGAGTGACTTGTCATTTTGTGTGGCTGTCCTTTGTATAGTAGGATGCCCAGCATCTGTGACTCCTGTCTACTGAATGCCAACGACTCCCTTATGGGCACAGTCATCATAACAAACATACTGATTTTTTTCAAATAGTTCCTGGCAGGCACTGGTACCCTGATATAGGATGACTGAGTGACCTGCTATTTAGGACCCTCAAATGCCACAAGGAAGCATCCAGAGGTGCATGTACCAGGCATTCCCCTGTTCACCACTATCTTTCCCTATGCTGCTGCTCTAGGCCCAGCTGATCGCACAGTCCATAGGACAGGCATTCAGTGTGGCGTACCAGGAATTCCTCAGGGCCAATGGGATTAACCCAGAAGACCTCAGCCAAAAGGAGTACAGTGACCTGCTAAACACCCAAGACATGTACAACGATGACCTGATCCACTTCTCCAAGTCGGAAAACTGCAAAGATGTAGGTACTTCCAAGACTTATTTCCAGACTGAGCCAGCTGGCTGGGGTTCTAGAGGGTGGGGCAGCCCTGCTGTGAAAGGAGAGGCTGCAAACTGTGGTATTGACAGGACACTCTGTGGCTCTCATGCCTGTCTCTGGCTTCCTCCCAGAAGACCCTATCATTATGTAGTAACAAAAACAAATATAGATGATAGCCTCTGCCCCTTGAGAGAATTCTATAGGTATGGATAAGAAGCCCATGATCTCAGAGAGGGCACTGAAAGTAGTTGGTGGCATGCCAGCTCAAGCACTGATGGAGACAGCTGCCCTTGGCAAACAGATCACATGATCATACAGTAGCTGCTTCACCCTCAGATGTTTCAGACAGCAGGATATCTGGAGGGAGCTAGGGCCAACCAAACTGGTCTGGGCTTCTAGGTCACTGGAATATTCAGGGACAGGAGAGAATGGAAGGGTAAGAAAAACCTGATGGTTAGAATGCTGGGACATCAGGAAGGAGATGAGTCAATAGGAGCAGGAAGTGAAGACAGGAGAGACAGTGTGACAATTTGAAAATCCAGCCAAAATGTTTAGACTTTATCCTCCAGATAAAAAGATCTTTGAATAAGAACATGGACTTTGGAGCCATTAGGTGTTTTGAGTCAGGTTCCTTGGACCACAGCCTTGGAGAGGTTTCTTGTTCAAGAGGTTCAATGGAAGTCTGTGCTCAGAGCAAATGGGGAGTTGGGGGAGGTACTAAAGAGGAGTATGGTCTTGCTGGGCATGGCCTTCCTTCTGAACCACAGGGCAGAGGACATAGAGGTAGCTGTACCCTCTGCCCATACTGACCATGGATGGGCAGGGATCTATTTATTCATTGGTTAGGCCAAGGCAGTCCCTCACGTCATAGAGAACCAGAGCTGCCATGCACATAATAGACCCCACAGGCGAGGCAGCTCCAACAACAGACAGGCAGTGCCTCTTGGTTCTGGGCTGCAGCACAAGGTCGAGCTGATGGTAAGTTGAGTCCTCGGGACTGGGAGAAAGGCTGTGTTTACACCTCTCTCCTTGGCTCACAGATGGCCTCTTCTCATGTCCTGGTGTCATCCTCCATGTGTCCAAATCTCCTCTAGGAAGAGCACCAGTCACATCAGATTGGAGCATGCTCTAGTGTACCCAGTTAGCTCGGTTGCATCCATAAATACCTTTGCTCTGTGTTGAAGCACTGGAGGAGGCACTAAGATTAGAACCACAGCACAGGAGTTTAAGTGATGGGAAACGATCAGTGTGTAACAGGCTCGTTACACGTGGCTGTGGGAAATGCTTCAGGCAAGTAGCCCACTGCTGCTTAAGCTGCAGAGAGGAGTGGACAGCATCTGTGACGGTAGCTTTACAGGCCCCAGTACATACATGTGCAGACTCCATTGGATGCCTCCAAAGGGGTCATTTCTTTTCCTGACATCTCTGCACACTCCCATATACCACAACTGTCCAGCACTAACCCTTGCTTCTGTGCCAGCCATCAGAGGTCACAAACACATCATGCATGTCCAGGGTCTGTTCTTGCCACGTGCGTCCCAGCCTTTTGGCCATGGCAACTTCAGTGTCACTCTCTTTCCTCACATTCCTCCCTGCAGAGAAATGTTTCATGTGTTTTCTTTCTCACTCGAAAATCTTAAATACTGAAAATAATTTACAGAGCACTGTGGAATGAGAAAAACTGTGCAGAGACTCCAAAAGCCACTTACAGATTAAAGTGTAGCAGGCCACCAAAGCTCTCACTACAAAGGACAACTGATGTTTCAAAAGAAAACAGAAAAGCCCAGTGCCTCTTGTGTTTGTGTGTGAGGTCATATTGGTCATATGAAATAAGGATGAATTCTGAGGTCTAGACGGGTTCGTGTGACCCAGATGCCGTGGATGTAGAGAAGCTAGGAGCTCACCTGGACTGACATCCTCAAAGAACTACCTTTCTTTTCCCCGTGCAGGCAAGGGACCAGCTCTGATACCTATCCCATGTGGCTGCTGATACAGGCTTTCTACATGTTTTCCTCCTTGCAGGTTTTCATAGAGAAGCAGAAAGGAGAAATCCTGGGAGTCGTGATTGTAGAGTCTGGCTGGGGATCCATTCTACCGACGGTGATCATTGCCAACATGATGCATGGAGGCCCCGCAGAGAAGTCAGGGAAGCTGAACATCGGGGACCAGATCATGTCCATTAACGGCACCAGCCTGGTGGGGCTGCCTCTGTCCACCTGCCAGAGCATTATCAAGGTACCTAGGCATGAGAAAACCTCCGTAGCATACCTGAAATGATGTGAAATAGGACTGCCATTCAGTCCTCGAATCTTGTGAACATGTCTCAGCCCAGGCACTGAGGAAGACCCAGCTGCAAACGATATAGACATGTACTCAAAGCAGCTAACCCTCAAGTTGCTACTACAAGTTTCTCCATAGGTCAGGATCACAAGTAATTTATGAGGCTGATGTAACACCTTTGTCTAATCCAATGCCCATCATAGGTACAACTCATCAGTTAACTCACTTCCTCCCGTGGCGCAGACTCAGCCCCAGCAGGATTTTCCTCAGCTCTATAACCCATAGTCCTTTATAGTCAGCCGGATATACGTGAGGTGATTCACCACCTCCTACAAAGTTCATGGGAGTGCTCCTCAGAGAGCACTGGTGGGGGTCAATCTGTCCCTTCCCAAGCCACCGCCTGAGTGTCATAGGGAGAAAACCTGCTCTAGTCCACACGTTCATTCTTGTTTGACCCACACTGATGCAGTCACTAAAGAAAAGATTTAATGAGAAAACAAATGTGACTACTTGAAGGGGAGCTGGCTTTTCTTCTTAGTCCTGAGGCAGCTGTATGCATAGCCTTTAGAGGGCATTGCTGCTCGTATAGCCAGTATGACACTATAGCCTCTTTGGGCCCAGAACCCCACACCCAGCCAGTGGGCAGGCTGTGGTGCTCAGCTTTCCTTGGTCCTGGGGGCTTCAAAGATAACACCACCTGGAGGGCGGGGAGTGAATACATCTGTACAGTACTCATTCGATGCCCAAGAAAACCCTCAAAAGCCAACACCCTTATCCGAGGAGCTGGGGCGAGACTGCAGGTGAGCATAGAGGGCAGGGTGACAGGTCATCCTGAGGTATACTTGTTGCTTAGTATACAGCCACATGTGGAGAAATAAGTTCCGAGAGAGGTGTCATTAGGCAATTTTTTCTAAATTTTTGTTGTTTGTACATTCCAACCAAAGTTCCCCCTCTTCCACACACACACACACACACACACACACACACACACACACGCACACACACCTCCCCTCTACTCTGCCCCATCTATTCCTCCTCCACTGTCTCTCTTCAGATACAGGCAGGCCTCCCAAGGATATCAACCAGCCAAGGTGTATCAGCTGCAGTGAGACTAGGCTCCTCCTGTTAAAGCTCAGGGAGGCAATCCAGTGGGGGCACTAGGTCCCAAAAACAGGCATCAGAGTCAGAGACAGCCCCTGCTTTCACTGTTAGGAATCTCACAGTCAGACATTACAAAACTATAACATATAAGCCGAGGGCCTAGGTCAGTCCCATGCAGGCCCCCTGGTTGTTGGTTGTATTTGTGAGCTCCTGTGGGCCCAGGGTAGGTGATTCTATGAGTTTCCTCGTGGTGTCCTTGACCTCTCTGACTTCTACAATCCTTCCTCTCCCTCTTCCATAGGATTCTCCAAGCTCCACATAATATTTGGCCTCAGGTCTCTGCATCTGTCCCTACCAGTTGCTGGGTATGGTGGTTTGAATATAATTGACCCCCATAATCTCATAGGGAGTGTCACTATTAGTGTGACTTTGTTGGAGTGGGTATGACGTTGTTGGAGGAAGTGTGTCACTGTGGGGGCAGGTTTTGAGGTTTCCTATGTTCAGGGTACCGCCCTGTGTCTCAGTAGACTTCCTGTGGCCTGCATATCAAGATGTGGCCAGCACCATGTCTGCCTGCATGCCGACATGCTTCCCACCATGATAATAACAGGCTGAACCTCTGAAATCCCAATTAAATGTTTTCCTTTTAGGAGTTACCATGGTCAGGGTGTCTCTTCACAGCCAATAGAAACCCTAACTAAGACACTGGGTGAAGGTTCTCTGATGACAGTTGGGCTAGGCATCTATGAGACTAGCAGAATATCATGAGGAATCATTTCATTGGGGATTTTTTGCCAATTGTGTTTAGTTCTATTCTAGTTATCTGGGGTATCCCACCTATGGGTCCTTGCTCTCAGGGGTGAGGTCCCTCTCAGGATATGGGACTCTATCTGGGACAGTCATTAGTTGGTCACTACCACAATTTCTGTGCCATCTTTATCCCCAGCACATCTTATAGGCAGGACACATTGTAGGTAGGAAGGGTTTGTGGCTAGGTTGACATCCCAATTCCCTCACTAGAAGTTTTTCTGGTTACAGGATATAGCTGGTTCCTCCATATCCCACATTGCTAGGTGTCTTAGCTAGGATCACCCTCATAGATTTCGGGGAGTTTCCATTGTTCTAGGTTTCTAGCTCATCCCAGAGATGCTCCCAGATCCCAGTTGTCTCTCCCAGTACTTTCTCCCTCCATCTTCCCCCAACCTGATCTCTTAAGTTCCCACCCCCATTCCCCCTTCCAGGCCCCTTCCCTGTCCACTGGCAATGTCCATTCTGTTTCTCCTTCACAGTGAGATTAATGCGAGTCCTGCTTGTTACTCAGCTTGTCTTGGTCTGTGGGGCATAGCATGGTCCTCCTTTGCAGCTAATGTGCACTCATGTTTGTCTTTCTGGGTCTGTGTTACCTCATACAGGATAACCTTGTCTGGTTCCTTCCATTTGCCAGCAAACTTCCTAATATCATTGTTTTAAACAGCTGAGTAGTACTCCATTGTATAAATGTGTCACAATTCCTTTATCCATTCTTCAGTTTAAGTATGTCTAGGTTGTTTCCAGTGTCTGACTTTTATGAATAAAACTGCTATGAACATAGTTGTGCAAGCCCTGGCACAGGAGACAATTTCCTGAAGATAACACCAATAGTGTAAGCACTAAGATTGATAATTAATAAATGGAACTTCATGAAACTGAAAAGCTTCTATAAGGCAAAGGGACAAAATAACACCCTGAAAAATGGGAAAAGATCTTCACCAAACCCACATCTGACAGACAGCTAATATCCAAAATATATAAGGAACTCAAGAAATTAGACATCAAAAAGTCAAATAATCCAATTAAAAAATGGGATGCAGATCTAAACAGAGAATTCTCAGCAGAGGAATCAAATAGCCAAGAATCATGTAAAGAAATGTTCAACATCCTTAGCCATCAGGGAAATGCAAATCATTAGGCAGTTAGTCATTTTCCAAACATCACACCATATTTACATAATTTAGGCAGGCACCTGGTGTGATCTTGTGGCAAAACCAAGAGAGACAGTAATTGTAGGACCCATGAGGAGCTAATAGTGTAACACAGCATGCTATCTTATGATTAATGTGTTTTAATTAGTAGTAGTACATCCTAAAATGATGATATAATACAGCATAATAAATATATGTAAGCTAGTAACATAGCCTTTAAGTATTTTGTGCATATATGTATGTGCATGCACACATGCTATACTTTTATGTTAGCAATGCAATGAGCTTACACAAATGTCACCATAGACATGAGGAGTGAGTTGTACTGTGGTGTTAAGATGCCTATGGAGTCTCCAGGTGTCTTAGGATTTTATTGCTGTGAAGAGACATCATGACCATGGCAACTCTTACAGAAGAAAACATTTAAGTGGAGCTGGCTTACAGTTTCAGAGGTGAAGTCCATTGTCATCATGGCAGGACATGGTGGCATGCCAGCAAACATGGTGCTGGAGAAGGAACTGAGAGTTCTGCACCTTGATGGGCAGACAACAGAAAATTAACTGTCACACTGGGTGTAGCTTCAGCATATATGAGCCTCAAAGCCCACCTCCACAATGATACACATCCTCCAACAAGACCATATGTACTCCAACAAGGCCACACATCCTAATAGTGCCATTCTTTATGAACCAAGCATTCAAACACATGAGTCTATAGGGACCATATCTATTCAGACTACCACACCAGGTAATAGGAACTCTTCATTCCCACTGTTGTCTTACAGGACTGCTACGGTATATGTGGTCTAGTTGACTAAGATGACTGTGCAGCACATGACTGTACGGTAATGATGAAATCAGAAAGTCTGCTTAATGCAGACATTGAGATATGTTTAATTGACCTTTGTTAGGTGATCCATGGAGAAGCCATGCATGGACAAGAGAGTCACATTGCTGAAAGGAGATGTAGCAACATAGAGGTGAAGGCTGCAGGAGTTTAGGAGAGGAAACATCTGACTTTGGAAGTTTAATTTCACTTTGATGAAGTTAAAACTTAGGTTTGTATCAGGAAGGACAGTGTGTTTAGAGGTGTATTCTTGAACTGACAGACAATAGTCTGGCATGGAGTCAAGGGGAAGAACTCAGCCTGACCTGCAATGGTTGATCTAGTGTTGTCATGGTGACCTCTACTAAAAGGCAGGACCACTGCCCACTAGCCTGCCTCTCCCTTCTCTCCTATGAACAGATTACTTGTGTGTGCATGCGAGAAATGCAAAGGACTGTGTGGCCCAGACCGTGGGTAGGTCCTCACCCAGGAGCTAGACCTGGCAAAAAGGGGTGACTGGCCCCACAGTTACAGAAGCCAAGGGCTGTGTACCCAACACTGAGCAGAGAGGGTGGTTGTGGATTAGCTCATTGAACTTAAAGCTTCTGATTGCTCATGAATTTCTATGCAACAGGTACTGTTGTCACCCATTGCCTGAGTAGGGAACTGAGGCACAGAACAGCAACCACACAGCTGGCCCTTGGTAGAGACAGATCCCTCAGCTAGTGAAGAGACACCCCCAAGGCATCCCAACTGTCCAGGAGGGTGTCTAAGTGGACATCCTCCACCAGAGGTAATTTTGCATGTCCCAGAAGCCTGGAGACTGTCTTAGCTGTCTCACTGTGAAGACAGTAATACATGCACAGCCTGCAATGCACAGGACAGCCCCCTCCACAGACAAGACCCACCCAGCCCCATTGTTGGCCGTGGTGTTGGCCTTGAGGATGTGTGTGGCGTGGAGTTCAGATGTGACAGGGAAAACCTGGTGAGTGAAGTTGGTGAGGGTGACTTTATGGGGAGTTAAACTGGGTCTGGAAAGGACATGGGGTAGGAAGAAGGGTATTTTAGACTGAATATGCCCCTTTAAAATACATGTTGAGGCTCTAATCCCAGTGACTGTTGGGAGAAAATTAGGTCTTAAAGGGTGATGCTTTCATGAATTGGATCAGTGCCTTTATGTAAGGGACCCTGCCAGGCTCTCTGCTTCTCTTCCTCCATGTGATGGCAACCAGAAGCCCACAGTCTGCAGCCCAGAGAAGGGCCCTTATCACTTGATTGCCAGAACCCTGCTCTCAGACTTCTGTCCCAGTTGGGTTTAAGAAGCAGGAATTTCTGGTAACTCCCAACCTTATGTCAGGGCCTGGCCTTCCCATAAGCCACCCTCTACCTGAAACCGCAAAGGCTCAGGGTCCCCAACTGACCATCCATTAGACCCCAACTCTCCTGTCACCCACCCTAGATGAAGGACCATGGTGTCTATGAGGTCAGCCTAACCCTTGACAGCTGCCTGGAGACTCAGCTCTGTCCACAAATCGCCAACTCAAGGTGAAAGCAAAGCTTGCTCAAATGCAAACGGAGAGGCCCTGGGCTTCCTGTGCAGGAAAGGTCGGGTCCTTTGAGGAGCTGGACTTTGATGTCTGTAAACAGAATCTCCATGGGGGGAAGACAAGTGACAACTGCTGAAGAGGGGGCTGAGAAAGCCTGGGTGGCCTCCCTCAGCAGAGACATGCACAGCAGGCAGGTCCAGGTAGAAACTACTGAACACTCTGTGTTCTGAGATTCTCGGCTTTGTTGAGCTGAAAAATCAGATAGCCTACCCCATGCCTTGTCTTGGCTGAGGAACTCCCAACACCCAATGAGGACTGGCATTCAGTAGATTCAGTGCCACTAGACAGTTCTCTAGACATCACCCCACTTTGTGCCTGGACCTCAACAGATACTCACACTGCTGCAGCCCAACCCCTCAGCTACGGCAGGGAAACGTCTGGGCTTAGGGCTTTCCTGTCGTGCTGTTCCTTTCAGTGGGTCCTGGTCATCTTCATCAGCCATTGCTTCTCACGCTCACACGAGCTACCCAGGGACCCTGATGAAGTGCAGGATCTGTTCCGACAAGTCTTAATCAGGACGCCACTTTGCAGCAAACTCCTGGGAAGGTGGCACTGCCAGTCTTCTGGCCTGCAGCTTGAGGGACAGGAGTCTGCAGCACTGTGTTCTTGTCTTGCCACTTGGATGCTCATTGGCCTTTCTTCCCCCAGATTACAGGAAGGAGAATGCTTCTAGTTGCAGAAACCCTCTGAATTCTTTACCTTTCCTAAAGCACACTCATTGGCAGACGAAGCATGCTAGCGTCTCTCTGCTCATGCCCTTGTTTCCAAGTCCTGCCCTCTAGACTTCCGTTCTTTTCCAAACTAGTGCCAGCTTTCATTTTCTTCTCTAGAGTATCGTGGGTTTGCTCTTGTTGCTATAGATACCACTCTGGCTTCTTCCCTCCCCACCATATTTCTTAATTTGCTGCATCATTCACTGTTGTCATGGAGACGAAATGATCATTTATTTAATTGGCACCTCCAACAAAATGGCAGGTTGGAAATCTAAGTTAATGGAACCCAACTTGAAATACTGATTAGGGAGAGCAGAACAAATCATGCGCTGGTTATTTCAAATTGCCATTTCTGAAGCCTTATATTGAAGCACATTTTTCCAGTCTTAAAAATTATTCTGCCAAGGAACCCAACAGGCATCTTAAACCAACTCACCAGAGCAATGGGAAGTTTGTAGGTAATACTGGGAGAGTTGTTTTATTCTCATGCTTTTTGGTATATTCCATAAGGTCTTCCAGATGGCCTGGGCAGTTAACGGGTACAAGCATTTAAACAGGTGGCTTTGTGTTAAGGACCATGACTCCTACAGGTGGCCCCGCCTCTGTCTGTTCATGTCCCACAGATCCCTGGTATTATGGTGTGTGGTCTGCAGGGCATGTGGTGGGATGGATGTGGTGGGACTCAAGCTGCCTCAGCTCCCCCGTCTTAGTTCTGACACACTCTCTGTGCTCTCTCAGCCTCTCCTGTTCCCCAGTTCCAAGAGACCTAGCGAGTCTTATTCCCACTAGAGTCCAGTGCCTAACCCAATTCTTGTCATGCAGGTGATTTTTAAATGAACAAAAAAAGGAGGTGCACAAGGAAAAATGTAATATGTACATAGCCAAGGTCTGACCTGCCTCACTTCTGGATACCTGCTTTGGTGTTGGGGACTGAGGCTCAGTTTTGAAGTTTTAAGGCTGAGTTTCAGTGTCCTAGGTTGGGGCATTTAGGAAGATGTATACAGAAACTGGACCTGGCAGACCTCAGTATCACCGTGGAAAAACTCAGGTAGAGCAAAGTGCCTAAGAGCCCCCTGCTTATGGTAAAGGGAACATGACAGACTCTCAGGTCTGGGGACATCAGCACTGCCTTCCTCACCAGCCTATGCCTGTCTCACTGCTGGGAGCAGAAAGCCTGACCGTCTCTGATGTTGACAGGACAGTGAGACTTGCTGTCAACAGAAGGACAAAATCTCTTACTGGTGTCTTACACGGTCATTCCCCTGCACTGGAAACACTGTTCCCTCCAGCAAGGAGCACCCTAGCCTGTTTCAGACCACTGGGGACACTGGAGCATCAAGTCACATGGGGTACTGTCTCTAGGAGTTGTCTTGGACCTGAATAAAAGCTAGCTTCCCCCCCCCAAATTCCTGCCTCTTCAAATTGTTTCTGTGTGTCTGTCTGTCTCTGTGTGTCTGTCCCTCCCTCCCTCCCTCTCTCATGCTCCCCTGTCTCAAGACCATTTTACCCTTGCTCCCTTTGAGGAGAGTCTAAGCCAACCTTAAGCCATGTCTTGGTCAGCTGGTGCTGGCAGATAGGAGTCCAGTCAGGTAGATGTTTCCTGAGTGCTCTGATCTCCTGGCTTCAGCTGTAGCAGCAGGGCCTCCAGCCATATCAATGTGGTTTGTCTGCTCCAGGATGCAAAAATGACCATTTCTCTGCACAGTATCTCTTGAATAGGATGTGAAACATCTCAGAGCCTCTGCAAGTAGGAGAGCCAGTGCAGGGAAAAGAACCAGAAAGCTTTGAGCATACTCTCCTCAGAGCATCTGCTCTTGCAAGCAGGAGGCAACACAAGCAGAACAGGCCTTCCTCAGAGCCAGCAGCACTGGAGGGGGCATGTTTATTTCTGGTCCACACTTGTGCCTGGTCCACACTTGTCGGCATGAGCTGTTGAGGTGGTAGGTGGGCCTGCCTGAGGGAGGGATAGTGTGGCTAATGCGGTAGAAAGCTCCAAGCCGGCTCTGTTCCCCGTTCATAATTAAAGGTCAGCTTTTCTTCTACAACCCATTCTGGCCTAGAGGAGGGGCAGGTGACCAAGGATAAACCCATGTACAATCTCAATGTTTCCTTTTCTTCATGATCCATCGTTTCCCATGGAGACAAATACTCAACTTCCAGTTGTAGTGGAATACCCATAGCCAGAAGGTGTGTCCAGACTAGAGTGGGGAGAAGAGGGCAGAGACCAGAGAGAACCAGCTTCGGGAATGAGCTGCTGCTGTGGAGTGTCCGTCCTCTGTTAGCGGTCGCTGTAGAGTCTGCCTTGTAGTCAACAGTGTATATATGCCCTCAGCTTTCAACCACGTGAGACTCTGCTTACACCCTCAGCTTTCAGCCACGTTAGACTCTGCTTATAGCTGTCCTTTTGCCAGGTCCCTCGACACGGTCCATTTTCCAGACACTCATCTCACACAGAGGCCTCATGGCGATGGCTCCAGCTCAGGCGCACACAGGCTGACTGCAGGTGTGGGCACCGCCTCTGTGTCCAGCCGTGTCTGCTTTCATGTACTCTGCCTGACTCTGTGCTCACCGTCTCCACTCTGCTTTATTCATGTTCAAGGGCTTAAAGAACCAGTCCCAAGTAAAGCTGAACATTGTGAGGTGCCCTCCAGTGACCACAGTGCTAATAAGGAGGCCAGACCTTCGCTACCAGCTGGGATTCAGCGTCCAGAATGGAATTGTAAGTACACAGCACAGCACACCCTTTTCCAAGATACTGACAAATGGAAGTGAGGTGTATTGCATCTTTTTCCAGCTTGGTCCACTCTCTTCATCTTTTCATTCAGTAAATAGATTTGGGGTTTTCAGTTGTGATTTCGTTTGTTTAGGGTTGGAGTGCACTAAGCAAGCATTCTGTCGAGAAACCACGGCCCTAGCCCTATTCCCCTTGGTCTTACCTACAGTGTGGACAGCAGCTTTGGAACATTTGACCTAAGGGCATCTTAGAGCCAGAAGGACCCACTCACTCCAGGCCCAGCAAACTCCCTTGCTATAGATCTTGTCTGCATCAGCTTCTGAATAATAAAGATGCAGGGTCCAGGGTGTAAAGTCAGCTTTACTAAGTTCACGGGCACTCTTGTTTAGTGTGCAAGGTGTAGTGAGCCCCAAACTGCCACAGTGGGAGGGTTCATTCGCCAGTGGTCACAGCCAAACCATATGCAGCAGCTGGCTATACCATTGCTTCCACCCATCTAAGAAGTGAATTTGGCCAAGGACCACCAAATCGAGAGCAACAACAGTACGTCTCTCCTCGAGCCACACCATGGAACACAGTAGGCTTCTAGAGCCTCTTTGGATCATGCAGTAGTGATCCTCAAATACAAGTTTCTAGCATCAAACAGTTCCAGGAGTAAGCCTGTTGAGACTGTGGAAGACTGAAACACTGACCACCAACAGATAGGCCCAATATGGATGGAAAGTGGCCAGAATTCAGACACCAGTAAGTTCACACCTGTCATGCCCCTCTGCAAAGGCCGTATATGTGCTAGAAATCATACATGGGCTCTTGTGCATGCTGGTTAAAAATTCAACCGCTGAGCTCCGTACCAGACCACAGAACCCATTGTTCATAAAAAGAACCTGAGAGATGTAAAAGGCCCAAGCCTCACCAAGTCTGCTCCTAAGGGGAGCTCATGCTACAGCACCCCAGGCAGACAGTCCTCCACTGCCACGTGGTCCAGAGATGTGGCACTGCCCGCTAACTGTGACCTGCTGTCTATCTCTGGCAGATCTGCAGCCTCATGAGAGGGGGAATAGCCGAGAGAGGAGGGGTCCGCGTGGGACATCGGATCATTGAAATCAACGGTCAGAGTGTGGTAGCCACTCCACATGAGAAGATCGTCCACATCCTCTCCAATGCTGTTGGGGAGGTAGGAATGAGACCTGGGGCTGTGTGTGCCCCAGGGGTGTGCTGGCCTTGCTGGGAACCTTCCAGAGCCTCCTCCCCCTCCCTGTTGCCCCTCAGACCTGGGTGAAGTAAGTTCACCTGCCTTTAACACTCATTTTGTGTTACTACTCTCTGTGACTCTCCAAATTCTCTCATTTTCCCCAGTTAACTCCACCAAGTGTGATTGGAAGACACAAATTAGATCCAAGACTCACAAAGCCAGCAGTCCCCAGAGCCAGCATGGACTCACGTCATGTCCTAACTACATTTCTGGGGCTTCCACTCTTGCTTTAGTAGCCGAGCTGTTTTAGATGGCCTGGTGCTCCCACACTGCCAAGACAGGAGAGGGAAGCAAGCAGCCAGAAGCCCAGAGCCCTTCCTCCCATGGAGCCGCCTTCATTTTTCAGAGTTGTGAAAACAAGAGCCTTGCCCTGGAAAACTACACCTTACCCAGATTTTCTTACCATTTACAGTCACCCCCAAAATTTTAGGAAGCCTGTGGGCTTCACTCTCCCTAGGCCAAGCCAGGCGATTGGGGATGGGCTAGCTTGGAGACTGCATTGTGAGAGGCTCCGCCCCCAGCTAACCTGGCTTTCTGCCCTCAGATCCACATGAAGACCATGCCAGCAGCCATGTACAGACTGCTGACAGCCCAGGAGCAGCCTGTCTACATCTGAGCCGCACCTCCCTCCGCGGCGGCGGCGGCGGCATGCATGGAGGACTCTCCTCACAGTGGTTGTGTTTCTTGTGCTGCTGCATCACGTGTCCACCGAGACATTCCCCTCTCGCACCCAGCGTTTGGTCTTATGCGGGAAGAGAAGAATCGGCAAAGACCTCTTTGCTCCCTGTCTCTCTCCAGTTTGCTTTTTTTATGTTCCTTCCTTAGTACCAGGAAAGTTTTGTGTGTCACCTTGAGGGTGGAGGATGGCTAATCTCTACCTGGTGTCATTGTGGAGGGCCTTTGAGGGTCCTGAAGTGGTTGTCACTGCCCAGGGCGGGCATCATCCCTGCCCAAGAGGCACATACTTCCCTGAAGTAGCTCCCAGAGGCAGCCAAGGAGCAGACTGCGCAGTGTCTAAAACTGCTGATCTCCCGCCCTCCTTGCCATACCTGGTGGGAAGACAGTGGGGACAGGGACAGCCTGCTGTGGAGTTGGGGCATCACATGTTCTTTCTGCCCGGAATTTCTGAGCCAGTTTTAAATCTCCTCCACAGTTCCTTTCAGTTTCAGTGTGTGTGCTAACACAGGCCTAACGGCAGAGAAAGGGGGAAGAGACACTCTGGATAAGGCTGCAAAGTCACGGGGCCTCTGAGGCTTCTGAGATTGTCCCAAGGTTACCAGTCAGAGGATAACCACAGACAGGTGTTATCTTCCTGTGCACTGGAATGGGCGCTTACTACACGTGTACAACACACACACACACACACACACACACACACACACACCCTGCAGAGTGTCTCGTTTGCTCTCTTCCTGTATTGAGATAGGCTGAAAATCTAGCACACAGCCTGTGGGGAACCCCAGGATCCCTCTGGAAGATCCCTTCTCCTAGCAGAAGGTTGACACATGCAGAAAGCAGCCAGCCTTGTCCTGAGAGAGGCCCTCCTGATCCCACGGCTCTAAGACTCCCACCCCCCATGCACACTGGAGGTTCTTGAGGGACAGACTGTGACATGGGTAACCTAGTGTCATGCTTCCTGCCCCAGGTAAGCCAGCCTGAGCCCTCTCCCAGCCACTCAGGAGGGTGTGTATTTCAAAGCTAGATAGACTAGATAAGTCACAACATCAAGCAGACTAAATGCTTGGTGTTGGGCCTAGGAATCCCCAAATGTGCTCCCGAAACAGCATCTACTGTCTTCTGGGTCTGGGAGTTTGCAGCTGGTGTGGAAGACTTGATGTCTCCATTGGGTGCCTCATGTTCTGAACAACGTCTCAGTCTAGCACGTATGTTTTCATATTATTCTGAGCCAGTCGCCACTTATTCTTGGTCCAAAGAGCAGTTTGTTTCCATGTGGGACACGGCTAGCTTTTGTTTTTGTTTTGTCTCATTGATGACCTCAGTAGAGACAGGGAAGAAAAACTAATATATTTTGTAATATGAATATAGTCCCTGTTCTCTGCATCTGGGATATTTATGTTATAGTGTCTGTGGAGATGGGAGTTCAGGGAGCAGCGATAGATAGGGAGGATGGATCTACGGAGGGAAGGGTGGGGCCTGGGAGAGGAAGAGATGGCACTATAACAAGATGAGGAACAAGAGGCTTCAGACAGGGAGGAAAACAGTCAACCCTAGGGTCTCTGACCTCATGAGTTGCCTGGGCAGAATCAGGAAAGCCCGGTACTTGCAGGGATCTGCAGGGGAGCCCTCAGTTTTACTCCAGTACAAAAGTTCCAGTGTTGAGAGGCCACCAGCTGTCCCCATAGCTGCCTGAGAAGTGACAGGGCTGCTGCTGCCAGAGAGCGTGTGGTGTTGGGACCACAGGAGCCAGGCTATCTGAACTTGTGTGTAAGGGTGGCCAGCAGAATGCTCCTGGGTGACCAGGCCCAAGATCAAACCCCAGCAAGTGTGAGGAGCCGAGCTGTGCCCCCACTTTCTTCGCCTCTCCTGAGATGACTGATCTGCTGGGTATCTAATATCATCACACACTGAAAAGTGAGCCCAGCTCTCCTCTGCCAAGAGTGATGAGAGGACAAAAGAGATATCATTGCTGACATTTCAGACTCCAGGGTCCTTGGAAAGTCTCTTGAGAGGCTTGTGCTTGTCAGATCCAGGGAGGCCACCATGGGAACATGCCCAAGCACCAGGACAGCAGAGACTGGCCTGGGACTGGTCAGGGACAGGCTCCACAAACATCACTCCCAGTCTAACCCCCAGATAATCACAATGAAGTGTCTTCATCCCAGGGAAAGAGGAAAGAGAAAATTACTTTCCATTCTTGTTGCACGACAGAAGCTTTAAGAGGGCCTAAAAGCCAAGCTTTTCTTGTGAGCTCTTCTAGAGAATTAACAGTTGAGCATGATTGTAAGATTACCTAGTCTTTTGTGTTAATCAGAGTAGTTCCTACCACCCAGAGGGAGAGCTGTTAGAGCTTGGTCCAGGCCCCTGGCTGAAGCCTGCTCTTCCTCAGTTGGCATCAGACTGAGTGGTTAAACTTGGGGTCAGGTCTCTGCTGGCATTCTCATTTACATAGTTGCACCCCAGTGATGAGGCCTACTGTGTACTCAGCAGCCTTCCCCAAACTGCAAGGCACAAAGCCACTCTGCCCACTCAGTTGGGACACGATGGTGACTCAGCTTTGGGGACAGGCCCCCAGATTCACCATCCTCCCAGTTCAATGAGGTTGCACCACAACCCACTCTGCCTCTGCCTTCTCCAGTGGGAACATTTCAGGGAGCCACCATCAGCCTTGAGTTCTTGAGAGGAAGAAAGCCCACAGATCAATGGGTGGAGCCCACTTCCTGAGAGATTCCTGAGCGATTCCTTCCTCCCACACCACCGCAGGCTCCTGGGGGTAGAGCACACAGCAGGCTGCCACCTCCCTGCACATGGGTTTGCTTCCTGAACATTTCCTGTCGACATTGGCCTTCAGGGAGTCCAGAGTAACCTACTACCTCCCCCATAGCTCCTCCTTCCTCCTGCAGCCCCACCCACACCCATGCCCCTGCTGCACACTGATGAAAACCCACCCACAGAGCCCTGCTCGGGTCCCTCCACCCACTGGTGTAGCTGTCACCAATGTTTACAACCAAGGGCCACCTCTTGCTGATGTTTTAACTCTCACCTTCACAAGGCTACCTGTTGGTTTACGTTTCACTCCTCCGTCTGCTTCCCTGGTTAGGGTCCACTTGAGCACACAACTCCGATTTCATTTTCCCTCCACCAAGGTAGTGTGTGATGACTGTGTGGGAATGAAATCTCTTGTACATACTTAGCACAGCACCTGGAGTATGAACTTGCACCCCCATTCTGTAACGGGGTGCACTAGCGCTTACTGTAAAACATCGGGAAAAGTACAGTATTGTATTTGTAACAATATCGTTCTTTGTATACACGAAACTCAATGATCTCTATATATAAATATAAATATATATAAATAAAATATATCTACACGTGAGCCTGGAATGTTGACACTGCACACACACTGAATGTATTTCCTCTGACAGTCTGGTCACCAGTCCTGGCCCACCCTCCCCTTCTTTGTGCCGTGGCTGCAGTTGTCTGGTTTGGGGTTGTGACGTATTTAATGTGCTATCTCCTTATTTAACTGAACGCTAACATCTGTATAAGAATTGCTGCAACAATAAACAAGGACTTCGCCTCTTAGCCTGGCTGAGTGTCTTACTGTTTGAGGAAGATTGGGGCTCCCTGTGCAGGGAGGATTTTGTCTTCTTTAATAGGCCACCTCTGTCTCTAAGGATTGTGGGAACTGGTTGCTACCTAGGTATTTATCTGGTAAAACTGGCTCAGTGGCCTGCCACCCCGCAGCATTCCTAGCCTCCTTGGGGCACACACCTTTGGATGTTATGGGAGAAAGGACCTTAGGTGTCATACTTTGTATCATCTTTAAGGGAAGAGAAGCCAGAATTAATCCTTCCTTCCACAATAAAAAACAGAGCAGAAGTGGTCTTCACCAAGGACTGGAGTCAAAGTGGAAAACAGTGCCTCAGGCGACCAACCTGAATACCCTGTGAGAATGCCCTGAAGCCTTTTACTTGGTACTCTCTGCAATTCTACTTTTCAAAGTTTGGTATCGTGATCTTCCTGCTGTCAGGGGCTTGAGTGGAGCAGCAGACTCCCAAATGAGAAGGCTGGTGCCCCACTAATGCCCTAATCTTCATTAGAACATCCTTCCTGAAAAACTAGTTGCAGGTCCCTGGGGTCTGTGCTCTGCAGCTGCTGGAAGCCCCAGGAGGTAGAGGTTAGGAATTGTTATTGTTTGTTTATTTTGTTTATGTTTTTATGAAAATATTTTCATTTATTTTACATACTGACCACAGTTTCTCCTCCCTCCTCTCCTCCAACCTCCATTGTAAACCACCCCCCCCCAATCCTCCTCCTTGGGGATTGGGTTCCCAGGAGCAGCTCAAGTGCCAGGGACAGGTCGTGGGAACTGTAAAGTCTCATGGCAGCATGCTGTGTTCCACCATCACTCGGTCTTTCTTATCATGCTTTATATCTCTAACAAATGCTTCAGGTTGAAAAGCTTAAAAAGATGGTTATACACAAAGACCCTCCAAAGTTCTCTCCCCACAGAAACATCTTAAATTGCTCTATTCACCACTAAAAGTACTTTCACAAGAGCTAACAAAACCAGATGAGAGATCTCAGGACCTAGTTTTAGTACAAAAGAAAAAAAATATGTTGACAGGAAAGAGTCTATCCAGGAGCACTAGCTTGGGGACAGAGTTCTTGGAATCTGCTAGTGCTCCTGGATGGAGACTCTGGACTACCCTGGCTCCAGGAGGGGAACTAAGGCTCCAGTGGAACAGATTTGCAGGCTAGCCTGCCTCAACTCCAGCTGCTTCAGTCTCCTGCCACTAATACACCATGCCATACTTCTGTGGGTTTGGTCCTGCCCCTCCTTACTACACTAACAGATGGATTAAAATATGAGTCAACTATGCGCTGTTTACAAGAAACTCACTTCTGAAGACACATAATAGACTAAAAGTGACAGGTGAAATGATGGTTAATTTTCATTGGGCACTTAACTGCATTTAGAATCACACAGGAGGTTGGAAAGACACGCATTTGGGTATACCTGTGAGGGTGTTTCCAGATTCACTGAGGTGGGAGAGATCTATCATTGTACCTGAAAGAAAGAAAAATGCAATATAGATCTGAACCCCAGAGTTAATAGAAGAAAAAATGAAGACCAGAGGAGAAATAAAAGAAAAATATAAACAATTATCAAAATGAAAAGTTGGTCTTTCCAAAAATAAATGAACAAACTAAAGAGAAATGAATCAAACACAAAAGCAGAGAGAAGAAATACAGCTTATACCATAAAATACAAAAGCATTAGAGATCCTGAGCAATGATATACAAAAAAAATTGATAAACTAAACAATTGGATAAATTCCTGTCCATATACAGGAAGACCAAGACATGGAGAAGTAAAAGACTGAAAAGACAGTTGACCTGAGTCTATATTTAGACAACTCACAAGACTCCAATCACAAAACAAGAATTTAATGAGTGAGCTCCACTGGTTGGGAACAAGATACAAAACAGGCCGGAGTCAGGAGTGTCTCTACACAGCAACAGTGAAATGACTCAAATGGAAAACAGTCGCTAAAAAAAATTATTCAGGAAAAAAGAGCCCCACAGTGAACAGCACAAAGCACTGACAAATGAGCTGGGAAGGCCACACAAACACAAAGTCACCCGTGTCTGTGGAATCAAAGAGTTGATACTGGTCAAAACGGTCATACTGACTAAAGCAATTTACAGGCCCAGTACAATCACAATCAAAATACCAATGACTTTCTTCCCACACTAGAAAAGAAGACCAAATTTGGGAACGCCAAATAAATATTCACTAAAGCAAAACAAAAATTAAGCAAATAAAGCCAATTAGAACCTAAAGAACATAGGAGGCATCATCATATCATCTACTGTGAAAATATATTACAACGCTTTAATAATTGAAACAGGCTTCTGATGTGCATATGAGTCGACAGCACAACAGAGCAGACTAGACCACGTAGGAGAGTGAAAATGGACCTCCATCTCTGAACACACAGAAAACCAGTTCAAACGAACTAAGGTCTCAACCATAAAACTCAAAAGAGTAGCAGCAAATATAGGGGAAATACCTTAGGAATGACCAAGAATTTTTTTAATAAGACCCCCCAAACACAGGAAATACAAACAAAAATAGACAAATGGGACAACATCGAACTGAAACCTTCTACACAGTGAAGGAAACAATCAAAAGAATAAAGACAACCTAAAAAAAAAGTGAGAGAAACATTTTCAAACTATGCATCTAACAATAGGATAATTTTAGAATATAGAAGGGGATCAATAGCAAAGAATAATAATCTCAAAATGGGAACAAACCTAAACAGTCATTTCTCAAAAAAAAGAAAAAGGAAGGAAGGAAGGAAGGAAGGAAGGAAGGAAGGAAGGAAGGAAGGAAGGAAGGACGGAAGGGCAAATAAATGTCAAACAGGTGTGTGGCCCAATGGGAACCATCACTGATCTTCAAAGCCACAATCAGATGAACTCAGTCGACGTGGAGTGGCCAGTGGCAAAGGAGACAGGAATGTTAGCAACTTCCGTGGAGAAAGAGAAGAAAAAAGAATGCTAATGAGTAACACTGCATGCAGATTCCTTAAGAACTAAATTATATAATTGCCATGTGAGCCAGCAGCCCCACTGGGACATACCCAAAAGTAGAAAGGTCACAGTGTTAAAAAAGAGCTCAGGTCGTCACACTGGCACACAGAAAGCTCTCTCACCCACTGAGCCGTCGCCACAGGCCTCTCTTTACAGACAGCAGCCAGAAAAGCAGCAGCAGTCCTGGGGCAAGGTCCCCCAGCAACCAGCAGCAGGGCTAGAGAGTGGTCAAGATTAACTGCACTTTTAATAAACTTCCAGAAACAAGTATGTCACAACCATGTGCTGCCAATTGGAGGGGTTTGGGATAGTCGAGACAGGTGGGACTCCCAGCAGGGGGAGCTTTGGAACAGGACAGAAGCCCACAATGTGACTTTTCTCCATGACCATCAGCTCACAATTACCCCTAGGAGGAGAAATGGTTGCTTCCGGAGTAGCTGGGGTTAAGTATTTAGACAGAACATTTAAATGTAAGTACGTCTCGGTTGCCCTGGTGGTCGGCCATGATGGAGTGTGAGTTAAGGTTTTAATGCACACTCGCAGAGATGGAAGTAGGCCTTTTATGTATCACTGATTAACCCCTCTCCATCTCTTCACACTCTGGCTCTCTTAAATTTGGGACATCTCAGAAGTTGTTTTTCTTATGGGTTCCTGCATATCAAATAACTGCAGGGGACCTGTCAACTCAAAACTTAGCTCTCGTCTCAAAGGGAAGAAAGGGTTTGTTTGTTCTAGAGCCAAACATGAGCGAGCATGACCCAGGAACGCAGATTCAGGTTGTCCCAAACACCATGTTCAACTCAGTAACGGTTTTGCTTTCACGAGTCTTTACCGTTGCAGAACAAAAGACAGCCATATATCTAGGCACCTTTCCAGAGCACGGTGGAAACATCAGGGGCGCAGCTCCTGGCTAAGCAGGGGAATCTCACATGAACTTCAGATGCTGTGAGTGCCTTTCTTAACGTCTGTGTTGGTTTCTGTTGTATCCTAAAAGGGTCCATGGGGTAGCCGCAAGGCTAGCTCAGCCACAGAGGTGGGCGCAGCGGATAAGGGAGCTAAAACTAGCCCAAGATAATTTGACCTGGGCTCTGTAACATTCAAACTCTCTGAAATCACCAAGTTCAGTCAGTCTGCCTGGTAGAATCTGCAACATGGGTATAGCTTCCTTCTGAGAATTTCAGTTCTCAATAACCCATACATATTTTAATGTGTCAATGTTTAAATTGTGAAAATAGCAATGGACAATAGCCTCAGAGGAAAGTCATTTGACTCACAACTCTGGAAGATCCAAGCAGGTCCACACCAGTGTCCTGTCCAGAGGCCCCAAGGAAGAGAGGCAAAAAGGGATCCGGTGGCCGGAAGAAGGGGCCAAGCCCATGGGTGGCCTCCCTTTAAAACCATCTGCTCTAGAGAGACAACTGAACAGCCCATCCCATTCCTTCAAGACAGCACTGACCTTCCTGGAGAGAGGCGGGCCTTGTCCTTGTCACCTTTCATTCAGCTGTGGCTCTTAAGACCCCTCCTCCACACAGCCACACTGGAGGCCACAACACTAGCCCAAAGCTTCCTCGCTTCCACTTTGGAGCCGACTAAATCTAAACTCAGGCGGAGTCTCCTCTCCTATCACAAGAGCAGGGTGTCCACGCTGTACATGACAAGGGAAGCTGGGAAGATTGACTGAACTCCGTCCTGAGGAACCACTCACAGACAATGACCCTCAGCTGGTCCTAGAGCTTGGCCTCTGAGCCGAACCTTTCCAAGGTGCTTTCTACAGGTGAACCGAATCCCCTCAACACCTGAGGGAGGCAGAGGCCACGCCTCATTTACAGCCCAGGAGCCTAGGGTTTAAGAAATCCAGTTAGTGCTCCAGCGGCCATAGCTGTGCTGGATGTAAACGCTCCTACCTCCTAAGTAATGCGCAGTGGCCCACCTCCCTGTGAGACAGACCTGGATGGAGATGGAGCAGCTGGAGGAATCTGTGCTTCGTTCCTTCTCTCCCCCTCACCCTGTTAAGTGAGATAACGACAGTCGTTCTCTTGAGAAGGTCACAGACCACGCTTCCTGGCTCACTCAGCTGACCTATGCTACTGACCAGGAATTCCATAAGACAGAACCCCCCTTGGGCCCTGGCGGGCTAGTCCTTCAAAGAGAACCCTCTCCACAGAGCGGTGTCCCTGGCTGAAGGCGACTAGGCAGCACCCTCCTCACCAAGGGTCCCTGGCCCCCCATTTGTCATCTCTCTTCCCCATCCCAGCGGCACCGTCCTTCACAGCACCCAAACTCATCACTAAGGAAGAGGGCCACCTGTGTCGGGTGACGCCAGCATTGGGAGTGGAGCGTCTCAAGAGCAAAGAAGATACTTCATTTCCCTTACCTTACCCCACAGGGAGAGAAGGAAGGAAGCACTTTTCCTGGTCTCTGTATCTGCACAAAGGGCAACACCCCTCAACTGGAGGATGGTATCACCAGAGGGACTTAAGAGAATTTATGGTGAGCAACTGTTTGGGGAAAGCCCCGCCCTCTGACAAGCCACGCCCCTCCAGAAAGCCGCATCCCTTCTGTCAGCCCCACCCCTTCTGTCAGCCCCACCCCTTCTGTCAGCCCCACCCCAGCCACCCTAAGGCTCACAGAATCGCTTGGTCTTAGTTTTCTAAGCCTTGCTGTATCTGCTCTTGGGTTACTTGACCTCACTGAGCATGCTCATCTTGTGGGACCCGTGTTTTCTAGTGCAAACAGAATTTTTGCAGCTGCAAGGGAAATCTAAAAACTGTTAGCACATGAGGACCTACAGGAAGCCTAATGGTTTATTTAATCAACAAGACTAAGGCACACAGAAATCATGACCTTCTGCATTGCTAAGTGCAAATGAGCTCCCCCTTCACCAAGTGATCCCTTCTTTACCACAGCTACAGGCTGTGTAAGCACTGAAGGTTAGCTATGCAGCAATGTAGGGTGCATTTTACATGAGTTACCAAGCTGCTCACTTAAGAACAACTAACATGGAGGAGAAGGCTTAGCAGTAAAGTGCTTGCCTCGTAACCATGTGGACCTGGGTTCAGTCCCCAGCAGCGGTGTAAAAAGCCTGTATTCACAGCATTGGGGAGGTGGAGACTGGAGGATTCCTGGGGAGGTTGACCAGTAGTCTAGCTCAGTCTGTGTGAGTTCTAGAGACATTGAAAAACCTTGTCTCAAAATCCAAGGTGAACAGTGGTGGAGGGGAATATCTGCTGATGTTGACCCTGCCCTCCACATGCATCTTCACACGAGCATGCATGCCTATCCATACATTTACACAGGAACACATACAAGCACACGCACCCACAACAGCATGGTCAGGTAGACTGACCACCTACCACATTGAGGTCCTAAGTTTAACACCCGGCAATGCAAATTATGTTTGATGTATTTCAGACAATTTTACATTTTTAATGGTAAGTGGTAACTTTTCTATTATCCTATCTTCTACCACAATTTAAAAATTCTTAATTGATCATGGAATTAATTTGATGGTAATTATTTTGTGTAGATTGATTAGAAAGAGCCTTTCAGGGACTAGAGAGAGGCCTCTATGGGTGTCTAATGAACGAGACTAATGTGTCAAATTGACAGGCTAGCATGCATGAACGCCCGGAAGCCAGCCTCCTTCAGGCGGTGCTTGACTCCGGTGATTGCAGCTAAGCTCAGCAGGCAGAGAGTAGGTAGCCTGACAGACAGAGGTGGCTGGGAAAAAAACTGTAGTGCTACACATTTCCAATTGCTAATTGCTTCAGGATGAGTTTTCAACTCTCACCATCAATTCCTGTGCTTTCTCCCAGGGAAACCACAGGCTTCAGAAATCCAGTGGTAGGTGTGGCGCCCTCTAGTGGAATAGTGAGGGAAAAGCGTACCTACAAGAGGGCGGCTGGGGGCATGAGGAATTTTATAGACCTAGCCTGACTCCCCCACAGGTACTTTCCAGATGAGGACATTTCAGCAGCAGGCACAGCCGGGGCTGTGACTCACTGACTAACTCTCGGTGTGCAAACCCGGAGGCTGACAGAGGCATTTTCTCTTCCGGCTGGTCATGTCCTGGAGCCCTGCAGGCAGACTGATTACACCACTGGCTGTGACCCTGCTTGTGGGCCGCGGCAGAGACTGTCAGGTCATTACGTGGAGACCATACAGCTCAAAGGCATAAACTCCGGAGCAGCGTGCTGAGGAGATTCACACACTCGGTACTGGGGAAGCATGAAGCGAGTGCAGTAGAATTCCCCGAGTCGACCTAAAATTCAGACTATTGCTTCCTAGAATTGCTTCCTATTCAATCCATGTGACTCCAACTTCCGCTTGGCCCCAGGGCATAAGTGAGATTTGGAAGGCTAACCAAAGCCGGGGCCATGGAATATCAGGAGTATGGCAGAGCACACCCACTGTCGATGGCTGATGGTTTACACGGCCAGCACACACGCACGTGCGCACACACACACACACACGCAGGCACGCGCACAAACACACGCGCGCGCGCGCGCGCACACACACACACACACACACACACACACCCTTCAGCTGCTGAGTCCTGGGCTAGATTCAGCTGGGCAAACCCCTCCTGCAGGATTCCGTCACAGAAGCGATGGGCAGCATCTATACCACTCTAGCCTCCTGGCCTCAGCTTTTCTTTGGGACGACTTTGGGACAAGCAGCCCCTCTGGAGCCAGAGGTCCCACTTTGCCTAAGCCTCTTGCTGGCCAGTACGGGCGCGCTGAACTGAGCTGTAGGGAATGCCTTCCTCCCTCCCACACAGCAAAGGAGCCAAAGCACGGAAGGGACCGTGAGCTGCCTATGGCAGCCAGCCCAAGCATGATGCACCTCGTGACACCTGCTAAGTGGCTTCGGTGTGGCGTGCCTCAGTTCCCTCTGCCATTCCTAACTCCTAGCATTTGCACGACGGATTTGGTCCTCCATCTATGGCATCAGCAGGTGCAAGAGCTCCCCCACGTTAACTTTGTGCCCACGAACCTGAAGCTAGGAAGAACTCCAGCCTCTGCAGAGATGAGCCCCCACCCCACCCCATGGCCATGCACTCCTGTCTTTCCCATCTGACAGACCTGGGTCCCCCGGGCAGCTTCAGGGACCTCCTCAAGCTCCCTCTCTTGTTAAGGAAGCAGTCCTGCATCCTCCAGAGGCCAAGGCCACTGAGCTGTTAATTAAAGGGGCCCAAATTGGATCCAGCTGCCTGCAGTTCTGAGCCCCTGGGGAAATTCCACAGAGCACTCGGCCAGAGAAGCTAAAGGGGATGCATCTAGCTCCTAGTGAGGGAAAGAGAACTGCCTCCTTCCGCGTAGGTAGAATATTTAACCGTGTAACGATGTGTTAATCTGTGTTGATTAAATAAAATTACCCTGGGCTCAGAGAAGCAGGGGTAGCTACGAGCTGACTGGAAGAACAGGGGGAGGAGAGAGAATGAAGGAGATGCCCAGGGCCCGCCAGGCAGTCACCGGACAGACAGGGGCTAGGACTAATGGAATGAAGCAAGGTAAAAAGCCCCAAGGCAAGGCGTGGGTGAGGAGAAACGGGTTAAATTAAGTTATAAGAGCTAACAGGACAAGCATAATCTAAGGCCGCACATTAATAATTAATAATTAATAATAAGTCTCCGCGCCACGATATGGGAGCTGCCTGACGGCCCAAAGAAAGCTGGTTATGCTTCCCGTGTCCCCAGTGGAGAGAACAAACCCTGGAGAAGGAAAACTGTGGACCGTCACAGCCTCAGCAACTCCTAAGGGCCGCTGACCTTGAGAGAATGACCACAGCCCTCGAATGTCCTTTGGAGGCCGGGCCCTAGGGTCAGGGTGGCAGCCAGCTCTGATTCCCCTGCAGGAACAAATGTTGGACATATCATTATTAAAAATGAATGTGTGGGTTAGAGAGTTGGCTCGGATAATAGTGTTTGCTATGCAAGCATGAGGGCTTCGATCCCGTCCTGAAGGCCCATTCAAAGTCCCAGTATGGCAGTGAAGGCCCGTGACCCCAGCAGCTCAGCAAGACGACGGCAGGCCCCTGAGGGACTTGCTGACCAGTCGGTATAGCCCATCAGTGAGCTTCGGGGACCAGTGAGAGACCCTGTCACAATCACTAGGGTGGAGAGAGAGAGAGAGAGAGAGAGAGAGAGAGAGAGAGAGAGAGAGAGAGAGAGAGGGAGAGGGAGAGGGAGAGGGAGAGGGAGGGAGGGAGGGAGGGAGGGAGGGAGGGAGGGAGGGAGAGAGAGAGAGGAGGGCATTCTCGATTGGCCTCTGACCTCCTCACACACATGCACACAACATCAAAGCCAGTAAGCTGGTAACAAAGCTGGACATGGTGCCTCCACGTGGGTTCTTTATCGCCCCGCACCACGAGGCTCCAGCACACAGCTAACTGCACTAAGAGGAATTCACACTCCGGAATTACACACATCCGGGCCAAAACTCCCCAAACTAACAAAACTGGCAAAGAAAACATTAAGCATAGAAAGTGAAGTCTATGCGTCAGTTGACTTGTGAACGTCACATAAATTTGAAGAAGGCAGAGACCAGGGTGGAACCGGGATGTTTTCTGACAAGAAGAGCCCAGTGGGCAGAGTACCGTTAGATCATGGGGTCCACAGAGTAAAGGACGGGATAAAACCCTGTTTTCTATTTCATTTCTCACTAAATGAGCTATGAGTGACAGCAGGAGCTCCGAAAAAAAACCCAGGAATTCTGAGGATCGCCATGCTTGAGATGGAGCAGGATTCTTACTCCTGAACCCTGTTCGGGCGCACCCATCAGGCACACCCAAGTCATTGGGCCAAAACTATGGTGTTCTGGCGCCACCTGGTGGCACACATCAAAATGCAGCAGTACTCCTAAACCTTGGAGTACAATCAGCAGGGGAGCGAGCTGATTGTCACCATTTCTCTAGTCATCTGGTAGTCACTTGGCTTCTTCTTTCAAAGCAGGTGAGGGTAGGGCATGGGAGAAAGTCCCTTCTCCTTCTGTGGCTTTGCTTTTCAAGTTACTTTCATGAAAAAGTAAACCAAGCAGAGAGGGGAAGTTATCGAGCTGGAAGGCACTCTTAGATGGCTTCCCAGCAACCCTGCCCACATTCCAGAACACTCCCTCCACCACTGTAGCCCCAACTGGATTCTCAGAATTCCAGCCTTTCTGGCCCTGGGGTGTGTTTCTCTTGACCTGGGACACGGAAGATTTCTACAACATCCACTTGGGGCTGCCCTCTGGTGGATCTTGGACAATGATCCCCAAAAGACTTCAGAAGAAAATGGCCTCCCTACCCTCTGACCCTGCTTCCCCTGCCAGGTGCTAGCAGACCATCAGGCCCTGAGTAGCTTTGTGCAGCAACAGCCCTGTGAGCACCGGCCACGCCTCACACTGCCCCTGAGTCATCTTCGGAGCCCAGCGTCTATCCACCCCAACGCCGACCCTCCAGCTACCAACCGACATCCACCCTGCACCCTGAAGAGTCGTTTTCCCTACTGCTGCCCGCTCCAATCAGTGAGCCAAACGGATAGTAGGTATGTGCTGTCCCCAAACACAACAAAACTGGTCAAGGATAATTAAAACAAAGACTAATGTGGAAACGGAATTCTGTGAAGTATAATGCACAGAGAAAGCATCTTATAAAAAATTAAGCCCAATTGTTCATAATGCTGCCAGTGGTGACTCAAAAGGTCTTTTAGTGTTAAGCGGAATGTTTGAGCTCTTTTTAGATTTCTGCCGTCAGTCATCAAGTGTGGCTTCAGACTGAATTCTGTGCAGCTGGGCAGAACCCAAACAAAATCCCTGCCTGTCTACAATTTATGTTCCAGAGGAAGAGATAAAAATAATTAGGTAAAATATATACTTCTATCACATCATGATGTGTGCTCAAGGGGAAAAAATAGCAAGTGCAGAGGGTTGCAATTTGGGAAGAGGGAAGCAGAAGGCAGGAGAGTCTGGTACGGATACAGAGCAGCATGCTTGCGGTGGTGGGGTGTGCAAAGGTCCTGAGGCATGAACAAGTTTTCTGCCCATTTAAGGAATAATGGGGAAGCCGGTACAGAGTGGCCAGACCACAGGGGAGGAGGGAGACAGGGTAAGAGCAGGGGCAAGAAGACCAGTGGTGGATGCACACTGGCATTGTCATTGAAAACATGGAGGGGACAACCACAGGCTGCCTTAATATCCAAATAGAATCCAGAACCCTAGCAGCTTATGGCAGGCTCCCTTTCAGGTTTCTAAATATATAGTTGTCCTTTCAAACCCCTCCCACCACCCCATTAGAAGTTACTTGGAAACATTTTTAATGTTTTTATTATACTATCTTATATATATATATATTTGTTATAGAATATTTGATTATCTGTGCAAAGATATGTTACATTTGTGTAACTATGTGAAGGTGTGTTACATTTGTTTGTTGCAGAATATTTAACTATGTAAAGATGTGTTGCATTCATTTAATTATGTAAAGATGTGTTGCATTTGTTTAATTATGTAAAGATGTGTTGGTGTTTTACCTGGCCTGCCTAAAGCACCTGATTGGTCTAATAAAAAGCTGAATAACTAATGGTGAGGAAGGAGGTAGGTGGGACTTCTGAACAGGGAGAGTAAATAAGAGGAATTTAGGGAGAAGAAAGAAAAAGAGACAACAGGGAGACACCAGGAAAATGCAGGGGGTGGGGCACAGATAGACAGACAGGAAAGTAGGACACACAGAAGGAAAGAAAGGTAAAAAGCCCTAAAAAATGTAGATGACTAGAAATAGGTGAAATATCGTTAACAGAGCCGGTGGGACAAGGCTAAGCTAAGGCCGAGCATTCATAATTAATAATATGTCTCCCGGTCTTTATTTGGGAGCTGATGGTGACCCAAAGATAATTCTTGCGTTAAGTTTCTGTGGGGCTGCCACCTACCAGGGAGGGCTGGGCGTCACTAACTCCCACGCTGTGCAGCTCCGCCTACGCTGGCTGCTGGGTCTAGGGTAGCAGCTCCCATCACCCACAGCCCCTCTCGCCATTGCTGTCATTTTAACTTCTTTTTCACTCAGTGCCAGGCTCCTGCTGACCAATCGTGGACTGAAGGAGAGTAGGGACCTCTGTCCTCCACTCACTGATCATTTCCTGTGTGTTAACTTTTCCATCACTGCGACAAAATACCAGACACAAGCAATTCAGGGAAGTAAAAGTGTATTGGGGGGTCACCATTCAAGGAAAGTTCAGTCCATTGTACAGGGAAGGCATGGAGGCTTAGGGAAAGGGGCGTGGTGACAGGACTATGCTTCTAGCACTGAGGCCACAGGAAGCAGGGTGTAGGTCAGAGTCAGGACTGGACTCCTGGAAGGACTCTAACCTTCAAAGGCCCTCCTCGGGTGACCCAGTCTATTAGCCAAGAGGCGTCACAACCTCACAAGTTGAGCAGGCTGTTAGCTCTTCGAGGGACCAAGTGTTCAAGCACATGAGGCATTGTGGGACCTCTCACAGTGTCTGGGATTGCACCTAGTGTCTAATCACTACCTGAAAAGCACAACTGAGTGGGTGGATCTGTGATCACAGGAAACTTCCTGCCCGAAACACAGAGCAAGGCGAGACTTAGACTGATCCATCCTGAAGGACAGCATCTTCCAGCTCAAACTCTCTATGTGGCAAAACCCAGCAAGGAAAAATCCCCAAGTCTCCAAGTGCACACAGTGTCACTTGAAAAGAAATCAAAGGAGAGGGGGTCAAAATCTGCACCCATCATAGGTTCATGAACAAGACAAAAAAAATTCGAGTTTACTTAATGCAAGTTTTACATGACACAAGACTCTTCCAGCAATGAAGACCCAAAGAAACATATACTAAAAGGTGTATAGGGAATATATATTACACAATGACAGACATGTATTACACAAAATAGCCAGAATAAGAAATCTACCATCTGCCATCGAATCTATCACCAAAGATCAGATATCCCAATGCTCTGAAATATTTCAGAAGACAAAAAAGAAGAGAAACATACTGATTAATTTTATAGAGAAAATAGAATACCTACATAGAAATAAGATTAAGTTACTGTAAGAAAATATGCTGGCAAATACGATTGTGAATTTTCTAAATAAAATATTAGCAGAGTCCCACATTAAGAAATAATGCATCCTTGTGTGAATGGGCATCTTTTGGGTATATGCCTAAGAGTGGAATTTCTGGGTCTTGTGGTAGACTCAGACCCATTTTCCTGAGGAATCTCCATGCTGATTTCCATAGTGGCTGTACTAGTTGGCACTCCCACCAGCAGTGGAGGAGTGTTCCCCTTTCTCCACATCCTCTCCAGCACAAACTGTCATTGGTGTTTTTGATTTTCACCATTCTGACAGGAGTAAGATGGTATCTCAGAGTTGTTTTGATTTGCATTTCCCTAATGGCTAGTGATGTTGAGCACTTTCTCAAGTGTCTCTCAGCCATTTTAGACTCCTCTATTGAGAAGCATTATATGTAATAGCTGGATCCTGGAAGCAACCTAGATGCCCCACAACTGAAGAGTGGATAGAGAAAATGTGGTACATTTACACAATGGAGTACTACTCAGTGGAGAAAAGCAATGGAATCTTGAAATTTGCAGGCAAATGGATGGCACTAGATGAAACCATCCTGAGTGAGGTAACCCAGGCACAAAAAGACAAACATGGTATGTACTCATTCATATATGGATTTTAGATATGGATCAGGGGAGTGTCAGCCTACAATCCCAGTGCCAGTGAGTCTGGGAAACAAGGAAGTTCCCAAGAGAGATGCATGATACCCCAGAGAAGTGGAATGAGGCAAGATCTCCTGAGCAAATTGGGAACATCGGGGGAGGGGAGAGGGAAACCAAGAAAAAGAGAGGGGAGAAGAGGAGGGGAGAAGAAGGCATGAGGGAGCAGGAAGGTTGAGTCGAGGTAAGAATAGAGGAGAGCAGGATGAGAGATACCATAATAGATCGAGTCATTATAGGCTTGAGGAGAGAGCTGACACTAGTGAGATCTCCAGAGATCTACAAGGAT